ATTAACACAAACATTTGTATTATTATATTTACTCAAACGTGCACATTAAAATCATAATGAAATCATTTGTGATTTGCATAATCACCCAGATAACTGACTCAAGAATGTGCTTAACCCGATTCTGAATACGAGAAACTTTTCCCATCTAAATATTGACTCAGATTCAAGTTACCGTCCCTTATTACTTAAAGTGTACTTAACCAAGTTGTGAATTATATTTGTGGCCTTCACAGCTGATGTATTCACAGCCGATGAGTTCACAGCTGATGTATTCACAGCCGATGAGTTCACAGCCGATGAATTCACAGCCGATGTACAATCCTGCGTTCTGCAACCCACAGGTTCCTCTTCAGTCATCTGTAGTCACCTACAACAATGTTTAAATTATGGCTCAGTTATTTTCTGAAACTTGGTGTACTTTTGCAGTCAAATCCTGCTTCTCTGTACTGTTGCTTCACAGTGGTTATCACATGTCTATAAATAACCTCTGAATAAATTAGCATTATGTAATGATTACTTTTTTCTTTTTTTTAACCTGTATGATTAGCGTTAATAAACTTTGACATACACAACCGAATGATGTGTCAATCCATTGTGTATAAAATAGAAATATTTGAGTCACACCACAGAGTTCTGGTTGGTCAGAAGGTGTTTTCTATAACAGCAGCTCTGACATTAGTGCAGCTGCACATTTTTATATATTGCATTTCATTGGCTCTGTACTTGTACTCTGCACAATGACAATAAAGTTGAATTTAATCTAATCCCATCTAAAATTAATGTGCTAAGGCAAACACTCTAAATATAAACTGATTAAAAAAATCATTGATAAGATGAACTTTTATTGTATGGAGATGTTAAGTTAACATTTATGGAAGGAGTCTCCAGTGTCAGAGGTAAAGCTATAGGTTTCATGGCAAGATAATAAGCTGGGTGTTTTTTTGTTTAATTAACTTCAAGAGAGAGAAAAAAAGAAGCTGGTAAGGGAACGACTGTTGGAAATAAAAAAAAAAGAAGAAGAATGAAAGATCTTTAATTTTGTTCCTTTGGTGTTGAAATTCAGATGTTTCAAATATTTCAGAGGGGTGAACGTGTTCAGGTCACAGGGCTGAATGAAGACAATAAAATGTACTTTACATACAGCTGTACAGAAGAGAAATAAAACATGCTCCTCTCCACTGCAACCCTTACTCCATCCAAGCTAACTAATGCAGCTAGCTAATGCGCTTCACTTACAGTCAACTAGTTTACTCATTTCATTATCAATATTGTTATTAATGAGCACAAAAAAACATCATCATCGGCTTTAAAAAATCCTTGCATTGATCTTGTAGATGATGACGGAGGTTCGGCCGAAGATAAATAGTGAGGGGAAGTCCACAAGGACATCATAAGAACAGCACTGGAGCACGGAGGTGGTTATTTTTCCACGTGTTTAAAATTAGAAGCTTGTATTCCCTCACAAGGACATTTCTGACCTTTAATACAAGCCAGACAATAGCATATGTGAGCTCACCATCTTTTAGATGAGCTGAGCGACTCTCGAGTCCTCTCGAGTCCTCTGCTAATCTAAAGCTATTCTCCTGTGGAAACAGATCAGTATCGGGTTAAAAAACCTTTCATTTCAGTCATCTAAATTATTTAAGCAGGAAAAATGGGGGGGGCAAAACAGTCAATAATCTCTCCTGTACACAAGCAGAGGAGGAATGATCTTTATCCCGGCACTGGGGTAGACACTTTAGGAAGCGATTACTCTTCATTTCCAGCCTTCGTGAGTTTTATAGGAGTTTCATGTTACTAATTTCTTGTGTAATTGGTCACATGCTTGTGGTTTTGCGATTCGCTATAATCCATTTAAATCTAGACAAAACGATTTCCAAATCTGACCTTACATGAAATTTAAGGGCATTTTCACATCTGGCTCTTTTCAAGGGTTTGTTGTCCCTTGTTCAGTTCGTTTAGACATATATGAACACAGCAATCACTCTCAGATCCTCACCAAAACAATCGGTCTGAGACCACCTGAACGAGGTGGTCTCGGCCCGGTTGTCAATGAACTCTGGAGCAGTTCACTTGTGGTGAGAAAGCAGTCCGACCAACGAACCAACCTGTATAGCAATGCATGAAGGGAACCGCATTATGTAAATAGCGTGTTTGTTTTGCTAATGGCTTGCAGCATGAATCGTGGTTTAACTTGGCCAAAGACGAGGTAAAATGCCTCATTTGGTCTGACGAACATATTTCTGAACAACTTTCAAAAACACATAAAAACACCAAGGTTTACAAGGTGTTTAGCAAGCGTCTCAAGGAGATGGGCTTTATTCACTCCGTGAAACATCGATTCTTGCTCAAACTGAAAAATTATAATAACTACAGCTAAAAAGAAAGCCACAATAAGCTCGGGAACTGCTGTCTACCCATCTTGATGGATGACCGCTATGAGTGGAACCCTGGAACATAAACAGGCGTATTCTGACCAATGAGAGGACAGTTTACTCACATGTGACTTGGATAAACACATTTTAGTATGCTTTGAAATGTTGCCTTGTGAAAGCGAACTGCGCTAGGGAGAAAATGCAACATCGTAACAAATTAAGTCCCTGTTTCAGAGCAAAGCACAGATCTACAGATCTACAGGTCTGGAAACACCCTAAATTGCATTTCATTTGTAGAATGCTATAATTAAACCTATGAGCATTAGCCCTGCCCTTTGTCCTAACCGTAACCATGTACAACTTTAACATACGAGTTGATCCATACAAATATTTACTCATATCAAATATTGACCGGATATATTCTCAGGGTTCTGTTACAAAAACAAACTTTACAATTTGCCACAATTTGCTCCGTGGCACATTTGAATTCTCAGCAGAGTAATAATTAAGCCCAGTAATAATTGTGGGTAATTAACCTCTAACACTGCTCCGGTTCATGTATTCACTGTATTTGGGTAATTTATTATTCGAGTGATGGGGCTTCATTGTTAGGCAACAAAGCATCAGAAAACAACACTTTAACAAAGTTCACTCACATTAATATCCTCTGTAAGCAAGCATCCCCCCCCCCCCATTCCCACACCTACATCCTCTTGCTTTTATACATATAAGCAACTAGGTTCTCAAGAATTTACACCATATTTATGCTTTTACTGGCTAATGCATCATTTATTTTCTCAAAAATGTCTCACTCTGTGTTTTTTGGGTGTTAACTGTTTTCGAAAAAAATTCATAAGGGTAAGCAGAAATATTTGTTTATTTAGTGCACGCAATCCTTAATATGGATGTTTCTTCCAATTTTTGTCAGGAGGGGGCTCTGGTTAGCTTTGATAGCTTAAAGCAGCTGACGAGATGAGAGAGGACGATAGTGTCGAATGAAGACGAATGCTTTAAGCCGAGGTTTAAAGGAAGAGAGAGAAAATATTCACAGCGAGACAGAGGCTGTTATACAGATCATGTAGGAGTGTAGTATTAGAGAAAGTCTGAAAAAGTAGGAGTGCGAGAGGAGAGAGAAATACATGATTTAAAGATCAAAAGAAACAGTTTGTATTTTATATGATATGTAACAGAAGATCAGGGTTACAGATAAATAACAATGATGGCAATATATGCTGAAAATTTACACTCCAGCAATTTGAGCATACTGAAAATTAGCCCTTTAACTTTTTCTGGAATACAAATTAGATGGGAAATAAAACACTCAAAGTGAGAATTTATAGTGATCAATTTAAGAGCTTCTTTGTAATAAAATATTTGGAGTGCGCCAAAGGATAGCAGAGAATGCAAAAGAGTAATCCAAGAACAGGTCGAGTAGAATGAGGCCAAGAGGCGGGTAAACAACAAAGACAATCATGCTCAAAATGTATAAAGAAATTGGCAAGACTTCGTAAAGAATAAATGAACCTGGTGTGTTTATACACCTCAGGGAGTTTTTCCTTGCCACTGCCACCTCTGACTTGCGCATTAGAGATAAATTTAAATTAAACTTTTATATCCGGATTCCTATAAAGCTGCTTTGTGACAATGTCCACTGTTAAAAGTGCTATACAAATAAAATTGAATCAGGAAGTGAACCAGACATGATTCACAGAACTCTTGGGACCTCTGTAAAGTTCTAAAGTGGTGTTACAGGTGATATCAATGAGTGATATGGACAAGGTTGCCAGAAATCCATCAAATCCATCTTGTATCTAGTTGTTTTATGCACTATGAACAAAACTGAACAGAGAGTTGGACAGACTAAAGCACTGCTGCATTGCTCTCTTTAGATAGAGATGAAGTGATGGATAAATCCCCTTGCACCACTATCAGCAAGGCATTATGGGTAATGCAGGAAACCATTAAACAAAGTGAAAAACGTATATTTGAGAGCGTAAGATAGAGAGAGAGAGGCTGTGTGTGTATGTTCATCTGTGACCAGCACTTCTTGCTGGGAAGCATAGCAACTCAATATGGCTGCGCGTGTGATAGTTTACCACACTGACTCGGCATGAAGGTGTACAGTTCAGTGAGTGTGAAGGAGTGCTGCCTGGCTGAAGTGAATGCGGTAGAACACAAGATCATCATTGCTGCTTCACATGTGAACAGCACTATTGATATGTTCTTAAAAACAATCGAGAAGACAAACAAAATTGTGCAAAATGGAGTTGTGATCTAAGGTTTATTTACACATGAGCTTCCACTGAGTACTTCAGTAAAAAAGTCATAGTGTCTAGCATATTGCTGTTTGTTAAGGATGAAATGATTGCACAAGAGCTCTCTTGTTATGGAAAACTGGTTTCCCCCATAAGAAAATTCCAATTTACTTATAATCAATAATGACAATGAATCAGTATTTATTCAGTAATGTAGCATATTACATGATTTAAGCAAATGATTATCACTGCTAATAGTTGAACATATATTCACATTAAGAATGTACTAACTGTTGAACTTCTGTATTGTTTGACTCAAGACAAGATGAACTTTTCGTTTTATGTTATTTTACTTATTACACTGTTGGAGTCCCTGGAGGACTAGTGGTTAGGCCTCAGTGCTCTCACCACCGTGGCCCGTGTTTGATTCCTGGCCTGGGAACCACCAGTGCGCTCTCAGTACACGTCCCAGTGCCAGGAAGGGCATCCGGCATAAAAACTGTGCCGAATCAAATATGCAGAGCAATGTTCTGCTGTGGCGACCCGTAATGGGAGCAGCCGAAAGAGGAACAACTTATAACACTGTTGATGATACATTTAGGACAGGATGACCCAGACTTCATCCTGTTGTTGTTCCATTTATGATATACCACCATTAGTTAATCAGCTTGTGTCTTTTAGGAGACTGGGTTTTGTGGTGCTTAATAACTGTCACAAACACAGGAACGAGAAGACTCAAAAGCAGAACACAGACAATGGGGCTGAAGGTACAACAGGTTTTACTGGAAGTTAGGGGAAGCAGGGGTGTATGTGAAAGTAGATGGTGAACAGAGTCTGTGGGCCAGAATTCAAACTCGGGGTGTTTGTCTGAGAGGTGAACACTCAGCTGAAGCACTGCAGGAAAGGGGTAGCAAGGCAGAGTGGGAGCAGGCTTGAGTGCTGGACTTGGCCAGGGCTTGAACTTGGGGAGGTGGTGTGGGAGAAGAATGCATTGTTGGGGAACCGTAGCCAGGCTGCGCGAAGCAGGAAGTAGTTGACGACAGGCAGGTGAAGTCATGATACTCACTGGGAGCTGACCTTTGTCAGGACGGGCCCGGTGGAACTCTCGGACTATAGAGGGGTCCAGAATGAAGGACTGGGGCACCCAGGTACTGCAAACCCCTGCCCACGCGGCATACATCCAGCAGCCTCAGGACAGTGTAAACCGGGTGTTTATCCACGACCCAGGAGGAGAGCTTCTTGGAATCAGTTTTGAGGGAAATGTTTTTGGAGGAGAGCTATACCTGTTGCCCTGGCTGATAGTTGGGCTCTGGAGTGCAACAGCGGTCCGACAGGTACCGGTTGTGGTCAGCGGAGCAAAGCAGGGTGGCACAAGTCTCTCTCCACACTTCGTGGCATCGATGATGTGAACCCAAGGAGCACTCAAAAGGGGACCTACCAGTTTTGGTGCTGGTCAGGGAGTTGGGGATTCAATCCATGGCAGTTGGGTAGACAAGGCCAAGGTGTCGCCCCTCAGTAGTCCCATGATGTAGGTGATCTTGGCATTGAGGAGTTGGTTAAGGGGCGGTAGGCAAAGACGAGGGAGGGGAAAACATAGGGAAATAAATGGAAAATGGAGAAACACAGAAAACCAGCCTCACCCATTACAAATAACAGTACTGATGAGCTTATGTTAATGCAAAATGGAACATTTTCAGATGTGCAGGTTTACCGCTTGAAAGCAATGGAGACCAAGCCAAAGACATACTGTCAGGAGAAAAAATTTAGACTGCTTAGCCCTTCTCTTGTAGGAATTGTTTTTTTTAACTATTAAATCATTCCTAGTTTATTATCTAGGAATGAGTAAAATCACAATGGTAAAACTAAACATGGTGCAATGTACTATGGTGCTAGGGACTGTCAGAACAGCATGGCTTTGTAGGCACTAGTGATACAGGGACACAGATATCTCCTCTGACTGGGTGAGTGAGTGGAAAGGGCTTACTGTTTTAAGTCATAATGCTTCACTTAGTGGTGATGTTTACGGACAGTAGAAGGCTGGGGACTGGATAATACTCTGTTTTTAATGGACTCAAAGAAACTGGACCTAACTGGATTACCCACTTTCTATCAAGGACTTTTTTAAGGTTTTTAACTACTTCAGAGTGCAGCCGGAGGAATGTACGTCACTTTGCTGGCTCCTTGAGGAACGCCTGGTGTGCTCTAGTTTCCACAGGGATTATGACACTGATTAAGGACTGTCAAAAGTCGAAGTCTCTCTCTCTCTCTGTCTCTCTCTCTCTCCATTCTTTCTCCCCATCTGTCTCTCTTTCGATCTCTCTCCCTCTCCGTCTCCTTCTCTCTTTACCTCTCTCTTCCCATCTCTCTCCATCTCTCGCTCTCTCCTCATTTCTCTCGCTCTTCCCATCTCTCTCTCTACATCTCTCTCTCTCTCTTTTGATCTCCCTCTCTCTCCATCTCTTTACCTCTCTCTCTCTCTCTGTCTCTCGCCCTCTCCTCATTTCTCTCTTTATCTCTCTCTCTTCCCCATATCTCTCTCTCTCTCTCTCTCTCTCACACACACACACACACACCTCATTAAGCGTTCTTTGTGTGTGCCGAGACCAGACCAGATTATCCATTGTTCAAATCCGTCAATCAAATTCCATTCCAGCTGTCATTAAAAGGTAACATTTCTTGAGTGTGGAGGAGGTGAGTTTTCTTTTTTTCCTTCTTTTATAATCTAAAGAGCGAAGCGGGAGTAGGTATGTGAGAAATGTTCATAGAAGTCTGTATTACTGCTATGGATACAATTTCACAAAAGTGTACAATATTTCAAGTGGAAATTGGAGAGAACCAAAGAAAGCATGTGGGAGAAAGTGAATTTTAACAAGGCCTTAATGTGCAGTCTAAATTTTACATGAGGAATGACAATGGCAAACAGAACTGAGCTGCAAAATATAGAAAACCACATTTGCATGGGGTTTTGCACACACTTAAATATCTAGTCATCACCAGTATTTGCTTTCTGCTGAAGTTTAATATGTTAGGGAGAACAAACGACCCTTTCTTACACACAGTGATTCAAAATTTCTTTTTATTATGACTGTTTCAAAAACACTTTGCCATAAGCCAAAGCTGGCAGGCATGTTTAGCAAAGGAAAGTCCATGATCATCATATAAACAGGCAGACAGAGATATCAGAACTAGGGAACAATAATGATGAGTTGCTCATGTCACATCACTTGTTGGTGTGTAGCGACTGCTCCTGTTGTGTCATGCGGATGTGACGTGTCCAATTATTTTTTAATGAGAAATGATAATGGAGATATATAGCATCTAAAGCTATACAAGAAAAACTTAACTGAAATACCACACTAATCAGTGTGAAAATTGGTTGTTTGATTTACCTGTATATTTGCACTAGCCTCATTCCCAGATTGGATTAGCAAAGCAAGCTAACTTTATGAGCTACATACACTCAGCAGAGGCTCTAATAATCGCTACTTCCTTTCAAGGTCTATTTTTCTTCATAATGTCTCTATACACATTTAATGAGAGGTTGACAGGATAAGATGAAACTGCATTTATTAGGTTTTGTAACATTTTTGTGCATTAAACAGTAACTAATTTCAGGTAGGACCTGAAGTTGTGAGGAGGAAACTGAAGAAGCGTTGGCCCACATGAGCCACAGTATTGGTCAGAGGAATCATTTGGATTTGTCACTTCTTTACAGCATCATTCTTAAGTTGTGTAGAGTTGAAAAAAAACTCAATTTAAATGCCACTGCCGTTAAAATCATGACTCCAGGTTACATACAAAATGAACACCCACTACATGAGTGAATGAAGTCCGGAAAAAAAAAAAAGAAAGTGTAAAAACAACCGTAGAAAATAAGTTCTAACATGCGCTAAACTAAGCAAAAGGATATTTAATCGATAGATTAATGAGTCTTAATGAGACTAAATAATGAGGAATTGGTGTCAGTAATGGCAAGACTGTAGCTACAGGGGAGTAAAGCAAACAAGAAGGTTCTGTAACATCAGGATTCAACCATATTAAGCCACATAAATAACCAATAAAATCTATTACATGTGCATTTATACAATTTGGCAGATCCTTTTATCCAGTGTGACTTACCATTAATTTGAGACAGGGTATAATTCAAGCTTTTTGCGAGAGCTGATTAAATTCTCGATTAAATGGCATGAAAGAGCAAAAATGAAAGAGAACAAATTTCACATCTGGCCAAATTATATAGAGTTTACAGCGTCAGGGCTGAGAAAACATACAACACATACGACTGACCTTCAATTCTTCTTCTTCTTCAATAATTAGATTTTTAGGCCGTAATTTGGGACGAAGCACTGTTTTGTTCTCTTGTCAATAGAGCACAATACAGATGGGTAATTACGGCTCAGATAAGAGGCACTCTGGCGTTTGAGACTCTTAAACAATCATCAATAGAGAAGCCTTGGTTAATCAAACATAGGGTTCTTGACCTTCTTTTGAGGACACTGCAACAAAGCAACAAACACGCTGCATTTTAACGGTGCTAAAGTCCAGACAGCCGTCTGAACTCTGCTTGGTGATGTAGAGAATTCTAGAAAAAAATTAGCATGTCAACCATTTTACAATACCATACCTAATACACAGTAACTGCTGCCATTTGGGATATTTTGGATTGAGGATTTGCATTTTTTGTTCAAAGCAGATCTCGTATTTCTACTGTGCTTGTTTTTCATCATTTCTCATTCATTTTGGGGCTAAAATTAGTGAACAATCTTGATGTGTATCAGCTACTACTTGGTAGTCTAATGATTGTATTTTTTTTAATAGCAAGAGGGATTATGGTTGTAACACCCAGCCCAGACATTTCCCAGTTTGCCTGTCTCTCTAGTAAATTCTGAGCCGTGATCATTTCTAGATTGACGTCTTTGTATGACACTTTGTCTGATCATGTTTCTTGCCTCTTGCCTAACCCATATTGTTCTGACATTAGTTTTGGATATGTTTTTTTTTTTGCCTGTCTTCTTGACTATTCTCTGGATGTTGCGTTTTTGACGCTACATTTTGTCATTAAATTCTTTGCAAATGGATCCCTACTCCCTGTCTGAGTCACCCTTGTTACAACAGTAAGGAGGACGGAGGAGGAGTCAAACAAGAGTTCCTTGTAGAGAGCACTGATTGATTTGTTTGTCTAATGTGTGCACCTGTGCTGTGTTAAGCCCTTAATTATTTTTTGTTAGTTATACCTTGTTGGCTCCATTCCTCTTGCTGAGTGTATCATGCATCTCTGAGCAATGTTTCTCGTATTGTATAGTTATTCTAGCATCTCCTGTATTGTCATTGGTTTATTATCCTAATGTGTACACCTATTCTGTGTTTAGTCCTTTATCACATATACCCTGTTGTCTCCATTCATACTTGCAAGGTCTCTGAGTGTTGTTTCTCATAAGGTCT